TTTGACAAACACTGTGTCAATTGGACAATTAAAACAGACATTCAAGTGGGGGGGAAGAAGAACCACTGGGGAGGAGGGTAGAGAAAACAGTGCAACAATGAATGAATGAAAACCCAAAATCTCTGTAAATGTTCATTAAAACTAATAAAAATTTTAAAAAAAGCATATGTACAAAAAAAAGAAGATGGAAAGAGTATACAGAGTCACTATACAAAAAAGAATTGGTGAACACAGAATTTAATGAAACAATGTATGAGCATGAGCCTGTGGTGATGAAGGAGAAAGTTCAAGCTACTTTGAAAGAATTGGCAAAAAATAAAGCCCCAGGAATTGACAGTATACCAGTAGACATATTTCAACTAACAGATGCTGCCCTAGATGTGCTCACTTAGTTCTGCCAAGAAATCTGGAGGACAACCACTTGGCCAACTGACAGGAAGAGATCTAAATTTGTTCCCATTTCAAAGAAAGGTGATCCAACAGAGTGTGGAAATTATTGAACAATATCATTAATATCACATGTAAGCAAGATTCTACTGAAGATTATCCAAAAGCAACTGGAACAGCACATTAATAGAGAACTGCCAGAAGTGTAGGCTGGACTTAGAAAGCGTTGTGGTACTAGGGATATTATTGCTAATGTTAGATGGATCTTGGCTGAAAGGAGGCAGTCATCAGAACAGAGGAAGGGAACAATACATGGTGTAAAATTGGGAAGGATGTATGCCAGTGATGTGTCCTATCTCTATTCCTTTTCAATGTATATGCAGAAGAGATTAACCAGGAGGCTGGGCTGCATGAAGAGAAATGTGACATCAGGATTGAAGGAAGATTCATCACCAATCTGTGTTATGCAGATGACACAACTCTGCTTGCTGAAACTAAGAAGGACCTGAAGCACTTGCTGCAGAAGGTCAAGTACTGCAGTCTTCAATATAGATTGAGGCTCAACATCAAGAAAACAAAGATTCTCACCACTGGGCGAATTGGCAGCATCATGATAGATGGTGAAGAGATTGTGACTGCTAACAGCTTTAGTTCACTTGACTCCAAAATCAACATTCTTGGCACCAGCAGCCAGGAAATTAAAAGATGTATTGTGCTGGGAAAGTCTGCTGTCAGAGACCTCTCCAAAGTACTGAAGAGCAACAATGTCAGTCTGGAGACTAAGGTGTGCCTGATATAGGCTATGGTCTTTGAAATCAAATGCGTCAGAGTGCTGGACAATGACTAGGGAGAATAGAAGGAGAATTAATGCCTTTGAGCTGTGATGTTGGAGAAGAGTATTGAGGGTACCATGGACTGCTAAGAAAACGAGCAGGTTCATCCTGGAGAGGGTGAAGCCAGGCTGCTCCTTGGAGGCAAAGATTCTGAAGCTTTGTCTGACATACTTGGACATGTTGTAAGGAGGGACCAGTCCTTGGATATCATGCTTGGGAGGGTGGAGGGACAGCGCAGGAGATGAAGAGCCTCAATGAGTTGGATTGATTCTTTTACTGGGGTAATAGGGGTAGGTGTGTCGGAGACAGTGAGATTGACACAGGATTGAGCAGGACTTAGGGCTGTTGTACATAGGGCAGCTATGAATCACAGGAAACTTGATGGCACATAACAACAAAAACAACATATTGATTTTAGACAGTTCTTTCTTTTCATCTGCTTTGTAGTGTTTTGTGCCAGGCTGACATCCCACCTCAATTCAGTCCTCACTCATAGAGGGGTGGAGGCTGGGAGATGGCAGGGTGAGGAAGTGATGGCATCAGGACAAAAACCCAGATCCAGTTCCAGGTCCATTACTGCTGTGACGTCAGTCATTCTGACCACTGTTCATCAGTTGTTGATATTCTTGGGAACCCCATACCCAACAGAATGAGACCTTGTCCATCATTGCCCATTCTTGAAGGCTCTGCTGTACGTGAGAACACTGCTATGGTCACCGTGCCAATCCCTCCTGTTCAGGCCCTTCCATCTGCTTTTCCAGGCATAGCATCCCTGTCCAGGGCCTGGGCCCTCCTGAGACTGTGGGAGAAGAATGGAATGGAACATGCCCAAAATACCGGAGACTAAGTCTCATCATCTTAGCTTCGAAGCAGCTCTTTGAAGGAAGGCTGGCTACTCTGGCTACACTTTTTCTGAGATAGATTTGTTCGTTCTTTTGACAGTCCGTGGTAGAAAGTCATTTTTCAAGGACAATTTAAGGGCCTCTGAGATCCTCACCTTGAAATCAAACCTTCAGGCAGCGTGGTAATATACTGGCAAATGGATAGGTTATCACTTAAGCTCTGCGAAAGGGGCTGGGATTCTCTCCCTGCTCCTCTAGGACCTGACCTGTGTTTCTGTTGCCCTTCTTGTTATCAGGTGACATTGAGTTGAACCCTGTCCTATTCTGCGCCAGCCTCACAGTCTCTAACACACTCCAGTCCATTGCTACAGCCACTGTGTCAACTCACTTGGTCTTCCTCTCCCTCTCTGTCCCCCCACTTTTCCAAGCATGATGTCCCTGCTTTAGAAGGAGGCAGGGTTTAGGATGGCCAGCCATGAACCTGTCCAGCTAGCACCCCCTACCTGGCCTGGCCAATCAGGACATGTCTGTGAAAAAGAGGAAGCCCCTGAGCGAGGTGGATGAGGAGTGACTACCACGATGAGCTGGAGGGTCTCAGAGATTGTCAGGGTGGCGCAACAGAGGGCAGGGCTCTTATTTGCTGTTCATAGACAGGGTCATTATGGGTCTAAGTCCACATATGGCACCTAACAACTACAACAACCTGGCCAATCAGGGGAAGGCAACACCTGGTGACAGCAGCCCATGTGAAGGCACCAGGGTCAGCCTTGGACTCAGCCTAAAACTCCCTGTCTGTCCCTCTAATCACTGACTCGCCAGGTCCCTCCATCTCTCTGAACCTCTGTCCTATTCTGTGAGATGAGGAGAGGAGCCCCTCCCTCCAACATTGTTAGCAGACTTAGAGAATAATCTGCAGGAAGCGTGTGAACAGTGATGTCCCACACTTGTCCTCATGGTGACTGTTATAAATGTTCCTTCTTGTAGCCAAACCCTCTGCCCCTGTGGTATTGGGACCCCCCACGAGGACCACCCCTGGACACAGAGTGAGCTTCACCTGCCAGTCCCATGGCTTCTCCCCCCGAGATGTCGCCCTGAAGTGGTTAAAAAATGGGAATGAGCTCCTGATCCACCAGGAAGAGGTGGTCCCGACGGGCGACAGTGTCTCCTACAGCGTCTCCAGCACGGCCCAGGTCATGCTGACCCAGGATGACGTCCACAGCCAGGTCATCTGTGAGGTGGCCCACATGACCCTGCAGGGCTCTCTCCGTGGGACGGCCAACTTGTCTGAGACCATCCGAGGTAGATGACACTCACACCCAGCCCAGACCCTCACCCTGTTTTCCCACTGCTGACCAACCTAATTCCCAACACCTGTACCATCATCTACCCTCCATCAAACGTGCTGCTCAACAGTCTTACTGACTGTTACATTAATAGCTGCACTCAGCTGAACAGCGTCCAGGTTCCAAGCACAGAGCCAGGTCACTTCATTTCTTTTACCAATAACAGCAGCAATAATTGCGCATTGACTACATGCTGAGCTACTGTGCGCTTGGGGATGTCACTTATTTTGCTACAAATAGTACGCTCAGAATTAGAACCTGTTGGTTTTATTGCTATTTCCCTACTAAAAGCTGTCATTCTTTGAGTCCCTGCTGTGTGCTGTCACTGTGCCTGGTGACATCAGTAATTAGGTAAATAAGATGCACATGGTTTCAGCACCCACTGCATGCCTAGCCCCTCTCTTGGTGACTCCTTTGCCACGATGGAGCTGCACACTGCTCTCAAGCCCCCTCTGTGATCTGTGTGCTCCTTAAGGTCAGCGATTCTGCTCTGTGCTCTTTCAGTTCCGCCCACCTTGGAGATTATGCAGATACATCACGGGAACGAGGTGGATGTCTCCTGCCAGGTGAAGAAGTTCTACCCCGAGAATCTAAACTTAACCTGGTTGGAGAATGGAATTGTATCCCGAGTGCATTCAGCCTCAATCCTCACCGAGGACAAGGATGGGACCTATAACCTGAAGAGCTGGATCCTGGTGATGTCATCTGCCCTCAGGGAGGATGTGGTGCTCACCTGCCACATTGTGCATGACGGGCAGCCAGCGGTCACCAAGCAGCTGACCGTGACACGCACAGACCCAGAGAAGGACGTGGACACAGACAGACCCTCTGGTGAGCCCTCCACTTCTCTTCCTCTGCCCTTTAAATAAATTGCATCCCAATTTTATTTTTATTATTTTAATGTTAAGATCATTGCTGTTTTGTCTTTAGGTTGTCAGACTCTCATTGACGTTAGACTTAAACAAGTTCATCTTAATGCATGTCAACCTCCTGTGACCAAATAGAACTTCCTCAATGAGATTTTTGCTCTGTAAATTTTTTAAATTTTATTAATTTTAATGAACATTTAGAGAGATTTTGGATTTCCATTCGTTCATTGTTGCATTTCTCTCCCTGCCCACCCCTCCCCTCCAATTGGCTCTTCTCTTTGAAAAGTAAAAGAAAAATTCCTTCATTGGTATACAATTCCCTCCGCCCCACCCCGCCCCGAGTACACTCCACTATGCAACCTTAATTCTGGACTCTTGTGATAACCATAATACCCAATCATATATGGCTTTTAAAACTGTTCTCTCCCTCATCTGTTTCAATGCAGTATACATGATTTATCCACCTTTTCTCAGTCTCACCCCAACCCTGATGTCAGTCCCATTCTACAACAGTGGCACCATGCAGTATTTGTCCTTTTGTGACTGAGATATTTTACTCAGCATAATGCCCCCCAGGTTCACCCATTTTGAATAATATTGCATGAGTTCCTTGTTTTTCAATGCAGCAGAGTATTCCATTGTGTGAATATACCACAGCTTCTCTATCCATTCGTTTGTTGATAGGTACTCTGTAATTTTTGTGAGAACAGATGGTCAGGTTTTTCTTCTGTGGAAACACTGAAGGTTGGATTCAGTCTGCTGCCCTTTTGGTTAATGGTCAAGGCTTACCCTTTGCCTTTGACTATAATGTTGTTGTTGTTGTTGTTGTTGTTGTTGACTGACATCGAGTCGAGCACGACTCATAGTGACCCTATAAACAAAAGACCTGAACCCTTTCTATAACTATTGTCATATATCAGTGTTCATAGAGTTCCCAGAGGCATGTTGTTTAGGAAGTGGATACCAATCCTGCTTCCAAATTGACTATAATATCTATGAGGATATTATAGCCAAGTCTCAAATCAAACTCAACATAAAAAAGCAATTAGTGGATGCCATTTCTGTGATGCATGCACTAGCAGAAATGTACCTTGATACAATTATTACAACTATGGCCAATAACAAGGACACTATTTGAAATTAATAAATGGAGAGATAATGCCAGCAAAGAATAAAAACAATTCTTAAGAGACCAGAAGTTAATCCTATAAGTAAAACGTAGACAACACAAAAAAGTTCACTAGCTATCCTTAAGACCAGATGGGAACTATGGAAGCAAGAGTGAGTAAAGTGAAGGTGTTCCCTGTGTGGTGCGAGCAGTGAGCATTCTCAGCTGTTCGCAGGAAGCTTGTCAGTTTGAGCCCATCCACAGGTGTCTTGGGACAAAGGCCTGGCCATCTGCTTCTGCCATTGAAAACCAGCTGGCGTCCATAGATGGGATCAATCAATACACTTGGTACCAACAGTCAGGAGGTCAGTGTATTGCACTGGGCAAGCCTGCAGCCAGGCACCTCTCTAAATCATTGAGGAGTAATGATGTCACCTTGAGGACAAAGGTGTGCCTGATTCACACCATCATCTTTTTAGTCACTTGCCATGCACCTGAGACCTGGACAATAACTAAAAGTGATAAAAGAAGATTAAAACTGTGGTGGTGAAGAAGAGTGATCAAGATCTCCAGGACTGTCAAAAGAACAAACAAATATGTCTTGGAGAACATGCAACCAGAGTGCTGCTTGAAGAAAAGATGATGAAACTTGTCTCACATACTTTGGTCATGTTTCCAGGAGAGGTTAGTCCTTGGAGAGGGACAACATGCTTGGAAAGGCAGAGAGGGGGCGAAAGAGAGGAAGACCCTTGACCAGGTGGGTTGACATGCTGACTGTGGAAAAGAGTTTGGGTGTGTTCGAGATTGTGAGGATGGCAGAAGATAGGACAGGGTTCCCATCAGTTGTTCTTAGGGTCACAATGAATTGTAGTCAACCTTACAGCACTTACCACCGCCAACAACAACAGATGAAATGACGAGGAGCCAGAATCCACATCAACTGATGCCGATACGAGAAACAGAAATTATCTAACCTGAAGAACCCAGAGCAAAAAGTTTCAAAACAAGTGATTTTCCTATGAGAGAATGAGAAGTGGGACATAAAGGTCACTTGAAGAAATACTATCTGAAAATTTTCCCTAACTGTTAAGCGAAATGAATGTACAAATTCAAGAAGCTGAGAGAATTCTAACCCAACTTGTGTACATTACAATGAATTTTCAAGTTCACACACTCAAAGAGAAAGAAGACATGAGCAGAAATGGCATGTGACTTGTCATTGAAAGAAGGAGGGCTCATAGCAACAGTAAAGTGCTAAAAGAGAAAAAAAAATCCTAATAAAAATAGAATTCTACAACCTATTAACATGGCCTCTATAAGGAAGGAGAAAGAGATTCTGGGAAAATTTTGAAACACAAAATATGAAATTTATCATCTGCACTAGAAGAAAACCTAAAGGAACTTCACAGCACTGAGAAAAACATATTTCAACTTCTGCATGCTCTTCCTCCCTGTTTTAATGAACATTTTGGTTCAGAGTTGTACACACCAGGAACTAGACTCAGGGAGTTACACGAGATGTTAAAGACATCCTGCTATTAGCATCAGACCAGACGCTTGTCCTGAATTGATCTCTATGAATTGGATACCCCATCCCCCCATTCAGTTTAGATACAAAAATCTGTGCCATTTAGGATGAGGTTGCCTAACTCTGACTAGTCATTATCCTCCACACTTAAAATTGTAAGCCTGTGACCTTGTGAACTAGGATATATACTAATGGTCCTCTTTATAACTCTTATTTACTTTGTGCTTGTGTTTTCTTGCTAATAGTATTGGGAACCTTGTTTTTGTATTGAATACTCTTTCATTCCTGTTTTTTTGTGGTGATTTTAGAAGCATATTTGGAGCTAAATAGCTCTATGCCACTGTGCTTAGTCATTTGAGGATTTTTGTGTGCAGTATTCAACCTGTCTCTATCTGCATTTCAGGGTCTCTAAGTATAAACCAGCCATTTCTCCTAAGTCTTGGAGAGGGCACAGTCAGAGTGTTCTTTGGAGGCAAGGAGGATGCGACTTCACCTCACATACTTCAGGGATGTTGCTAGGAGAGACTATTCCTTGGAGAGGGACATGGTGTTCAGAAAGGTAGAAGTCGGTAAAGGAAAGGAAGGCCCAAGACCAGATGGAGTGACATGGTGACTGCTGCAATGGCCTCTAATGTGTCAGGAAGAGTGAAGATGGCACAGGATGGGACAGGGTTCAGATCTGTTGTTCACAAGGTCATTAGGGATGGTACCCAACTCGACAGCACCTAACAACAAATGTATAACAAAATTAGTTGCTTTTGAGTCAATTCTAGCTCATGGAGACCCCATGCACTGCGGATTACAGCTCTGCTGCAGAGAGTGCTCCTGGCTGCTACCTGGTGGGATCCAATCACTAGGCCTTTCTTCTGAGACCCTTCTATTTGGACCCAGCCAGCCCATCTTTCCACTATAATTCTAATGTCTGTTTCAACACCCTGGGATTCCTCTCAGGGTCCTGCTACTTCCAGATCATGGCCCTGTATTTAATAAGAACCATTTGAGAACAAACCCAATCTCCCTTTCATTTTAAAAAAATTCTAAAAATACAAAAATAAGTTTCTCTAGCCTCAAATTTCTATATCTAATAGAAAGAGAGCAGGTGACATCTGCTCTTGGACAATGTGGACTAGATCATGTTTGAGGAGCATCCCAAGCACGGCACTCTGTTTCTTTGACTTATCACTAGGATTCATTAGGGAAGGCTGTACTGAGGACATCCTCAACTCCCTGGTACAAAACCTTATAACTCAGACACTGAAATCTATCCTTCCTTTACCTGCACTGTCCACGTACATCTCCTAAATAGTGAGTGGTTGAACTTGCCTTTGCTCAAGAACAGTGTTTGGGGGCTACCCTAAAGAGCAAGAATGATCTATTTCAATAGGATTGAGTTCCATTAATCTTTTGACCCATTGTTTGAGTCCCAGTTATCTAAGCTCTGAACCTCATAAGACTAGGGATATAATCCATGTCCTGTGGGGCCATAAGTGTCAAGTAAGTAAACCCACGTCACAACTAAAGGCTACTGAATCCATGTTGTCCTCACCCCTTCCTTCTTGGAAGACCCCTGGCTGTTGCTAAGGTCATGAGGATGAGGACAGGTAGAACTCTGGTTCAAAGGCTGTAAATCATCAGTGGAAACAGGAAGCTCAGAGGTAGCTAGGAGTATTGCAACTGGTCTCCAGAGTGCCTTCTCTATAATAATTCACTTTGTGGGTTGATTTCCAGTCTCAACGCTGTTGGCTCCTTTCTCCCTCCTTGGAGGTCTCCTCATGGGCTTCAAACTGCTGCTGCTGCTGCTGGTTGGTGTCTCTATCTTCTATGTCCACAGGAAACAGACGTCCCAAATGTAAGTTGTGGGGGAAGCTCCAGCTTCATGAAGGAAGAGCAGGCCAACGTCTGTCACAGAAAAGAGAAAGGTCAGCAGGCAGGGCCAGTCCTGTGACAAGTTTCACATGTCACATGTTATGTATGAGGTCCCCCCTGGAGTTAAGAGAGGCTCCCCAGCTTTCCTCAATCGCTCAAGAATCTCGTGATATCATCTTAAATGTACTCAGGTCTCAGGCTGAATGTGGATCCAGAGGGAGATGAATTAGATCAAAGGTTTCCCAAGGGGAATCTCAAGGCCTTCAATGTTGAATGGGGAAAATGGTAGAGAGGGGCGTGCGAGGGGCAATGGAATGGGCAGTTCTCTGGAGATCACACCCAGATTATTTTTATATTAGTGCTCCGTGGGGGCAAAAGGAATCCACCGCATTTGAGAGTACGACTGAGAACCCTGGGCTGCCTGGTGTGAGAGTTATTCTAATGACTTCCATGTAGCTGAGAGCAAAAGATCAGAGGAGTGTCAGGACTTAGGGAAGAATGATAACATTGGCATTAGTTCTATCCCAAGAGCTTGTTATTCCCTGACATCTGTCATCCCGGGAAGACAACATCCTTGGAGACACACTGGGAATTAAGGAAACACATCTCAATAATGAACAGGCAATGAATTATGGTTCTATTTCTCCATAGGTCCTTTCTTCCTCCTCAGATGACTCAGGCTGACAGAAGGTTCCAGATGTAAATATCCACAGACTCTGCTCCATGTGCTTCCCTGCCCTGGACACATGCCTGCACGTAACTTCTGCTGCTCATAATCCTTGAATACTCCAGGGCTGTGTTTTGGGAATTGACTGAGGAATGACTCACTCCACTTCCTTAGAACCTGAGATGAAGTCCAATTTTCTAACCATATCAAGAGCTGTCACCTTGAATGCTGTGAAACTTGGCATAGACCATGGACATGAGTCTATGCTCTGAGAATTCTCACCTCCTGGATTCCAGCCTTCCTTCTGAACAGAAGTGGAACCCTGTTCTTATTTTCAAAAGAAGAAATTATTCTTTCCTCCTTTTTGGCCCAAGTGCCCAACTCCTTTAACCCAGAATTTATTTTCCCATCCCTCTCTGTTATGGAAACATTAGGTATTTATATCATCCATTTTGTTCCTCATCCTATTGGTTATGGTGCAAATGTTATGAAAATCCAAAAGCTTGCTATACCTCATATTTCATTCTACCGTTAAGATGTTTATAAGGAGAGTTAGCTTTATAAATGTTGATTGTCTAAAAGGAAATAAACCTCAGAAAGTCTCATTTGTAGTAGCTGCCAATTCTGAAATATAAATATTTCCAACATGGTCAACTTCAACCTGTTGTTGTTATGTGCCATCGAGTAACCTGTGACTCATACCAACTTTATATATAATACTTCTAAACTCTACACTAACTTGAACCACTCTTAATGACTCCAACACTCCTAACCTCATTGCCCCAGTTATAGTGTCAATCCACCTTATCCAGGGTCTTTCTTTCTGTGCTGTCCCTTCTCTCTTCCGTACATAATGTCCTTCTCCAAGGACTGGTCCCTCCTGGCCACATGCCAAAAATATGTGAGACAGAGATTCAAAATCTTGGCTTCAAGGAGAAACTTGATTTCACTCTTCCCAAGACAGACCTATTTGTTCTCCTGGCAGTCCATGGTATGTATGTTCAGTACTCTTCTCCAGCACCACAGCTCAAAGGCATGTATTTTTCTTCTGTCATTTTTAGTGATGTCCAGCTCTCTGATGCACAGGAAGTAATTGCAAAGTCCATGGCCTGGATTAGGCATACCTGAGCCCTACACTGACATCATCACTCTAGCATTTTGGAAAGGTACAATGCATCTTTTGATTTCCTGACTGCTGGTGCCAAGAATGTTGATTGTGGAGCTGAGCAAGCTGAAATTGTTAACAACTCCAATCTCTTCTCCTTCAATCATGGTGCTGCCAGTTGGCTCAGTGGTGAGAATCTTTGTCTTCTTGATGTTGAGCTTCAATCCATATCGAAGACTACAATCCTTGACTTTCTGCAGTAAATGCTTCAGGTCCTCCTCAGTTTCAGCAAGCAAGGTTGTGTCATCTGCATAATGCAGTTTGTTGATGAACCTTCCTCCAATCCTGATGCCACACTCCTCTTCATAAAGTCCAGCCTCTTGAATAATCTGATATATAGATAGATAGATAGATAGATAGATAGATAGATAGATAGATAGTATGGAGACTGTACACATGCCTTATACACTCCTTTCCTGATTTTGAACCATGCAGTGTTTCCCTGCTCTGCTTTGATGACTGCTTCCTAGTCCAAATATAGTTTTCTTATAAACACAATGAAGTGTCTGGGATTCCCATTTTTCTCAAGGTTAGGCACAATTTGTAATGACCTACACACTCAAATGACTTTGCAGTCAATGAAACACTGATAGACATTCCTCTGGTATTTGCCTTCAGCCAAGTTCCATCTGACATTGATGACCTACCATCTGCGCCCTGGCACCATGTCTCAGGCTCTTCTCTGTGCCCTCAATCACCTTTCAGGTGAATAGAAACTTAGTCTTGGCTGGAAATCCAGACTCAAACCTTCCGCGGGACTGGCAGAAGAAATTGGATCCCTGCTCAGACACCTTGCCTCCACTCACCGCTGAAGAACCAATTAGGTGTTCACCCTAAAGCCTCCATCAAAGACTCTCCTTTTTCTCTTTCCTTTATTTGCTTTTCCCATCACTTTTAAATTTACTTTTCCCTCTTTCTCTTCAATTTCCTTTTCTCTTATTGGCTCAACAGTGAGGATTTTTGTTTTCTCAATGTTATGATATAATAACATTGATGGCTACAGTCCTTGATTCTCTGCAGCAAACACCTCAGGTCCTCCTTGTTTGCAGCAAGCAAGGTGTGTCATCTACTAGCACAAGTTATTGCAATATTAGGAACTGCCTAAAAGCAATTTGCGTAGCAAGTTCACATAGTTCAGTCTGATATGCTGAACAAAATAACACACACACAAAAAAAAACACTACAATGTCTTGGAAACACAAATAACTTTAGAGCCTTCCCACCACACACACATACAGAGCAAAGATGGCTCTAGCAGGTGAACAAAATATAGAACCAGAAAATCTTCAAGAGCAATAAATGTTCTTAGTATTAGTGATGAGGAACTGAAGGAGATAAAAGTTTAGCACCATACACTAAGGAAAAAAAAGGACAGAAACCAATGGAAAATATAGGCAAAACTCTAAAAGAATTCTAACAGCATCAGAGCAAATAAACAAAATAAACAGAAAATTGGAAACTATACAAAAAGAGCAAATTGAAACTCAGAATATTACAACTAAAATTTCATAAATAGATTTAAAAAAGAGCTATCAGTTCTTAATGAGGACAACATCTACAATGTAAAAGGAGGGAATACATAGTATAGTTACAGGATTCCAAAATGGGAGGGATGGCAAGGCCATTTCATGAGAAAGTGAACTGGTCTGAACTCTCTTGAGATTTCCAGCTTCTGAAATCCACGAGAGGGTCAGCTATGAGTTGGTGGTGACCTTACGGCGCATAGCACTGCCACCAGAACAGAAATAAATGAAACAGAAAAACAAGAGCAAGAATCACAAAGACTAGAATTTGGTTCTTGGAAGCGATTAATTAAAAATAAAACCAAGCCACCAGCAAATCTAAGAGAGGAAAGGAAGAAGATAAAAGCAACATGAATAAGATAGGAAATAAGTGGCATCTTCAAAGAAGAGTTCTATGGAGAAATATACTCCGACAAATTTGAAAAATTTAGTTGAAGTAAATAAATTTTTAGAAATGAACTGTTTATTTTACCCAACACAGAGGCAGAAAATTTAGAGGGACATATTACAAAAGAAGAAATTTAACAGTCATAATAAAGCTTCTAAGTGAAAAATGTCCTGATCAGACAGTTCCACGGTTGAATTTTATCAAACCATCAGGAAAAGCTGATTCCATTTCTATTATTAAAGTTATTTGAGAATATAGAAAAATACGGGATGCTCCCAAATCATTTTATGCAGATATCATAACAATGATTTCAAAATCCTACAAAGACACCATTAAAATATAAACAGTACCCAGTAACAATAGCAAAGTTCAGCAGAACAGCAAGCAACAAATGCTGGGTATGTTATGGAGATACTGGAACACTTTTCAAGCTAGTGGGAATGTAAAATGGTACAACCACTATGGAATGTGGTCTGGTGCTTTCTCAGAAAGTTGGAAAGAGAAATACCATTTGACCTAGCAATGCCACTGCTGAGAATACACCCTAAAGAAACCAAAGCCACAACTCAAACAGATGTATGTGCACCCATGTGTATTGGTGCAATATTCACAATAGCAAAGGGATAGAAGCAACCCAAGCACCCATTAATAAACAAATGTTGAGATAAACTATGGTACATACACACAAGGGAATACTATACAGCATTAAAAAACAATGAACCCATAAAACATTACACAACCTGGGGAAGTCTTGAGGACATTATGCTAAGTGAAATATCCAGTCACAAAAGGATAAATACTTCTTAACTCCATTGTTATGGGGGAGTTGGAGAAGAAATGGGTACAGAATGGATAGATAATGAACACTACATCATATGAGGGTGGTGGAGATTGAAATCTGTGTGTTTCAGTCCTTTGAACAAAATTTTTCTGTGCATCTTGTATTCTTTTTTCTGGACATGGAGAGATTAATAGTTTCTCCTTAATTTTCCTTGAAAGCTTTAAGATCTCGGTGACTACTCACCAAAATAGGAAGCAGAACGTAGTTCTGCGCACTAACCTATACTATTTGATCTTGATGTCCTCGGAAGGTATTGTCCTCTATCCCAGTACTAGCAACACATTTCCTCGGGTGAATTGGTTTTAAATAAGGCATTTATGTAACTTAAGCTTTTTGTTCTCCAATGTGTGTGAATATATCTATAGCATATACAAATACGCATATAGAATTTATATCTGTGGTG